CTCCCCTCCTCCTTGTTTAATTAGGGTAACTGTTAGGGTTTTCATACGGTGTTTAGTTTTTGCACGATTAAGCTGCTCTGGAGAAGAAAAGCAAGCTGGAGAGCAAGGGTGTGAAAATGACCCTGCTGTCCTCACGCTTGGGCTATTTCGTTTGCACTTGGTGAGCTCGTTAGGCTGGGGTCGAAAGTTTCGCACATGCACCCAGGGCCGCACCACGGCGTGTGTTCAAAATAAGAAAGAAAAATGAAATTACACCCGTGGGGTAATTAGGTATCAGAGCTGGTGTGTTTTCATGGGGGTCCTGCAGGAAGGTAGTGATCCACAATGTGAATTTTGTTCCTGGGTCACAACTTTTAGAAAGAAGGAGAAATACCTGGGGCCGATGGGGCCCAGGTCTGCAGAGGGATGAGTGATTTGGTGCCCTCTCTTTCTGAAGGATGGGAGAGATCCAGTGTTTATAACTGGAGTTCACCTGGATGGTTAAAAAATAGGGGAAAGAGAAAAATAAAAAAGGAGGGAAAAAAGCAGATGCTGACTTGTGAAGCCGGGGAGTGACTTTTGTAGTGGCGAAATCTACAAAGCCCGAGGTTTGCCGAGGAAATCACCCCAAAATCAAGGAGCAGAAAGTGGGACGAGGGAGTGGAGATGGAGCCGAGCCGGGCTCAGGGGGTTGCTCCCAGCCCTCAGCTACTTGTTGAGTGCGAGTCTGCATTAGGCTTCGCTCAGTAACTGCATTGTTCTGCTATTAGTCCCTTTAAAACAATTATTTCTAAGGATCAGCAGCCTTTGTCCTTTCTTTCTTTACTTTTCTTTTTCATTTCTTTTTCCCAATATATCAGCAGAAAGTGGAAATGCGGTCTCTCTGATCTAGCCTGAATATTATTTACTATGCTACTTCCTGGAGAAGATAATGAATCTTGACCCTTTCTATTCGTATAACCTACCTTCCCTTCCTTTCGAGCAGTTACTTTCAGTATTGTTCACAAATGTCTGGTACGGTGAAAACTAGCTTGGAGATTCTCTAGACATGCACAAGCTCCCATGCAAACATATGTGCCCACACTGCCCCGGCTCTCTAACTGTCTGTGGCTCTATAGATCTGTGTTTGCATCTCTCCTTCTGTATATTTAGCAGTCTCTATGCACATATCACGATACCTACAGAGGTTAAGGTTCTCTAGATGTCAATGCTTTTCCACGGCTTTATTAGCAGGCACGAACTTGCTCTTCTCCAGTTGAATAACTCTGCTTTTCAGCTTATAGCGATTTGCTCAAGCTGCTGTGGATTTGGGTAGATTTGATTCTTTGGAGATATATATATATATTTATTAAGGGCAAAGATTAATTTAAAATATTAGGTACCATCCCTTAAGAATATGTATAACCAAAGGGAGGGGGGAAAAAAAAGGTTTGATTGTGTAAATCTAGTGTGTTGGGTATTTTTTCCTGCAAAGTCCAGGTCTGTATTTTTAAATACGAGTCTCTTGTCATAAGAAAGGGATGGAGAGTTTCTTTTGAGACACTTGGTACTCCCTGCCTGTGCCATATTGCCACGAAAAAGCCGCCTAAGATTCATGTACAACCTCGTGGAAAGGGGAAAAAAAAAAAAAAAAGATTAACTAGGTGGTTTGAAAAGTTTAGCAGCTCTGTTGGAAGGGTTATTATCACCTCTGCGGGCATCTTCTGGTCTTCTTCATTTGGCCAGAATATTCCCAAGGCTTATAGCCCCCGGCTGCCTTTGGGAAATTATTTTCCAACTAAGAAAAAAAAGAAAAGAAAAAGACTTCAGCAGTCGGGGCTTGGCAGTTTCACTCAGGATCTTCGCTTCAAAGTCCGCGTGGGATTGTCTGGAAAAGGGAGAAGGTGAAGTAGGGCTCGCCAAATTCCTTGTCCCAGGGCTCAGGGGGGTGGCGGGATGGTTCCTGAGCAGGATCGGGGCTTCCACCGCAGCCTGGGGAACCTTCAAATTCTGATTTTTCAAATGGAGCGAGGGTTTTCCATCAGATGTAATTTTTGCGGCTGCCCCCACATGCTGAGCCCTTTGGGAAGGAGAGAAGGGGTGTGTGGGGGGGTGTCCAGCCCCGCACCCCCGCGGGGGGCTTACCAGGGTGGCACAGGGGTTGTGACGGGCTGTCTCGCTGTGCTTTCTCCGAGCAGGGAGCCAGGTGTGCCGCCCTCCGCTGCTGCACGGCTCGCTGCCCTGGCTGGACGGCAGCAAGGCGCTGAGCAGCCACCACAGCGCTTCCCCCTGGAACCTCAGCCCTTTCTCCAAGACCTCCATCCATCACAGCTCACCGGGACCCCTTTCTGTCTACCCACCCGCCTCCTCTTCCACTTTATCCGCCGGCCACTCCAGCCCGCACCTTTTCACCTTCCCACCGACCCCTCCTAAAGATGTGTCCCCGGATCCGTCCATCTCCACCCCCGGCTCCACCGGCTCCACCCGACAGGACGAGAAGGAATGCATCAAATACCAGGTGTCCCTGGCCGACACCATGAAGCTGGAGTCCTCTCACTCTCGGAGCAGCATGGCCTCTTTAGGAGGAGCCACCTCCTCCGCTCATCACCCCATCACTACCTACCCACCGTATGTCCCAGAATATGGCTCTGGACTTTTTCCCCCCAGTAGCCTCTTAGGAGGATCGCCTACCGGGTTCGGGTGTAAATCGCGACCGAAAGCACGGTCCAGCACAGGTAGGGCTTTTGGCTTCTTCATCCCCATCCCCGCACGCAGAAGGATGCACACAAGCATCCATGTGATGAAAGCAGCGGGGCCTGAAGCCCACGGGGCGGGGGGTGTGTGGGGTGTACACACACGATTTTACCTTCCCCACAGGTTGCCCCGCAGGGTTTATAACCAAACTCCCCCTTGTCCAAGCCCTGCTGGGGGTACAATCGGCCCAGAAGCCCGAATTCCCCTCCCGCTCCCGCAGCGCTCCTGACCCGGGTCCGATCCGGCCCCCGAGCGCCTACGGTGTGCTCCGCTGCGGCGCCCAAGGAGGAAGCGAAACCGAGGGAACCGCAGCATTAGTATATCTCTCCGTATTTTAATAATGGTACTAAATCCCGGCCAACTTCCCCCGCCTGCCCTCCGCCTCCCTCTTCCCAGGGCCTCTTCCCATGCGGCGCCCGGGGATGCAGGGAGGGTTTTCCCT